GATCAGAAGTGAGGTTGCTTCCAAAGCAATCTGTTCATTGAGCATTCATTCTGACTTGAGGGGAGGTTAGAGGATGTTGTGTCAGGCAGATGTGTGCAGAGGAGGGCAACCAAGATGATCAAGGGTCTGGAAACTTAAGCCTTATGAGGAACAGTTGAAAGATTTGGGTATGCTTAGCGGGTGGCGCCGTGGTCTAAACCACAGAGCCTAGGACTTGCTGATCAGAAAGTCGGCGGTTCGAATCCCCGTCAGGGGGTGAGCTCCCATTGCTCGGTCCCTGCTCCTGCCAACCTAGCCGTTCGAAAGCACGTCAGAGTGCAAGTAGATAAATAGGTACCACTCCAGGGGGAAGGTAAATGGCATTTCCATGCGCTGCTCTGGTTTCGCCAGAAGCGGCTTAGTCATGCTGGCCACATGACGCAGAAGCTGTACGCCGGCTCCCTTGGCCAGCAAAGCGAGATGAGTGCCGCAACCCCAGAGTTGGCCACAACTGGACCTAATGGTCAGGGGTCCCTTTACCTTTACCTATAGCCTGGAGAAGAGGAGACAGAGAAGACATGATAGCCATCTTCAAATATCTGAAGAGTTGTCAGATGGAAGATAGAGCAAGTTTGTTTTTCTCCTGCTCCGGAGGGTAGGACTCAAATCAATGGCTACAAATTACAAGAAAGGTGATTTCAACTAATCATCAGGAAGAACCTTCTGACAGCAAGAGCTGTCTGGCAGTGGGGTGGGCTTATCTTGGAAGATGGTGGACTTTCCTTCTTTGGAGGTTTTTTAAAGAGAGGTTGGGTGGCCATCTGTCACGGATGCTATGATCCCTGCATTGCAGGGGTTGGACTAGATGACTCTCATGGTACCTCCCAATTCTATGAAGTGGTATCCTACACTTACCAGCACCTTTCTCTGTCACTTCTTCTGTTGCAAAAAGTCCAATCTTTTTGGAAAGAGGATTTGTTGTGCAAGCAACAATAATTGTGCACCTTGAGTTTATCATTATGTCACCTGAAAATAGTCTGTTTCTCTTTGCCCTGAATTGACTCCCTTTTTCTGCTTGGGGGGCTTTTGGAACGAGACTTGTAAAAGACTTTGCTCCATTCCATTTGGAGCTGCAAAATTGACAGCACTGCTGCTAAGATTTTGCTGGCTAAAAATTGGAAAACGCAAGAAGTGCCAACAGTGGAGGAATGGCAGATGAAGATGATGGACTTTTGAGAGCTAGCTGACCTGACCGGAAGAGTCCACGACCAGAAGGAGGAGGAGGACCAGGAGGAATGGATGAAATTTAAAGACTATTTAGCTAAATATGCTAAGATAATTTAAATAGAAATACTTGCAAGTACCAGACTGGCTTAGGATTTAAATATGTGATGTTATAGAATAATATGTTTAAAGTTAATTTGAAAAGAAAGAAAGATGTTAATTGGCTAAGTAAATTTTATGAGAAATTAGTTTTGGAAAACTGTTACAATGATATACATTGAAACTCAGCCAGGGGGATTCGAGGAAGTCACCTAACAATGTTAACAAAAGTGGAACTATTATAGTTAGGATTTTTGTTTGTTTGTTTATGTTTGTTTTAAATTTGGAAAATCAATTAAAAAATTTGGAAACCCCCCCCCAAACAAAATTGACAGCACTTAGCAGCAAGCCAAATGTCTCAATGTTCTTCCTAAGTGTCAATTCTGTTAGCGTAAAAGTCAGCTAGCCAAGAAGGGGATGGACAGAGCTGTTGCTTAGCAACCAGGTAGAGTGGCATGATCTTCACTAAGATAGACCATGCTCTGATTGGCTGTGTTGTTCTGAGGGAGTTGTCCCTGTTTGTTTTAGCTCAAATGTCTTCCTGCTATGTACAAGGCCTGAACTAAGAAAGACCAAACCCCTCTGTTTCTTTCCTTTCAAGTTATATTTTGTTATTTTTCAAGTTGCTCAGTAAAGCATCACAAGGATTTCATTTTCCTCTGCAGTGTGCGTTCAGTGACTAACACTCTGCCACCTGCTAACAAAATCTGTCAGGTCTTAAAAAGAAAAAAGTGCTACAGCTGGCTGTTGAGAGGAGTCTTGCCAAAGTTCCTGAAATACTTATCAGCAAGGGAGACTTGCCTGACCATACATTGTGTGGAGGAGCAGAAGAGAGCAAAGAGGCCCAAATCAAACATGTAGGAAGCGAGCTGGATCACAGAACATGATTCTGTAAAGAAAAAGACGACCTCTGTAATTTATTTGTTTGCTTGTTTGTACTCCTTATTGTGGGGCAGTTGCCCTTGGTGATATATTTTTTTGTGTGACTTTGCATTTTGCTAGTCTATCACTACCCTGTGTATTGTTTGTTGAAGTGCCCTTTGTACTGACATCGAGCTCAGGGGGAGGCATTGCCTGTCTGTTTCCTTCCTGCCCTGTGGAGAGCACAGCAGACAGAATTTACAGAGAGGGATAGTATCTCTAGTTGGGGTATAAGTGTTATTTTTCTAGAAGAGGTGCCGAAACTCACCACAAACACCTCCCTCGTTCTCTTAGAACAGCAATGGCACCCACTTGAAAAGTGCCTGAACTGAGTTCAGGCTGGGTTTCAACTAAAATTCAAGACATATTCTGAAATTTCCAGGCATATTCTGGCATCTGGTGTTGCTAAGGGACCAGTCTCATTCTCTCTCTTCCCGCACACACTTCCAGACCCTGTTAGGAACAGATATGAAAGCTGGGAGCTAAACAACACCTTAAGCTGAGGTTGTGCGTGCAACAATGGAATGTCCAGGCACACTTTTTTATAGCAAGAATACAGTTATGAAAATGAATGAACTGCAGCTAAAATATTATGTTCACGTAGTCTAAACCTTCCTCTGCGCACCCCCCTAATATTCTTAAGAGGGTCTCTTCTCCAGTCTTCAGAGAGTAGCTGGAAGTGGGCAGGCAGAAAAAGGTCCTTTTTCCCCCACTCTGCAGTTTTAAACTGAAATCTTAGGCGCAGTACTGCGCCCAGAGCTCAGAAACTGCTTGCCCTAATGAAATCCCCCATCACAAAATGGGCTTAGAGCAATGGGAGTTTCGAGCACTGCTTCCAGAGTTCCGGATTCAATGGCACAGTGGCAAATTTCAGTTGTGCAGTTGAAACTGATTTGGTGCTCTTCTGCAGCAAACCTTCTCCGCCCTCAAAACCAGCCTTTTTGAAATCCAGAAAGTGACTGGAAAAGCCGTGGAAAGTGTGGGACGATTATTGGGCACAACAGTGTCTAAACTCCCTGCAAAAAAATCAGAATGGATGTTCAATAAACTGCCTATGTTGTCCAACCTCCATAGCAAACTTTGCGGGAACAAATCAGTGGATGTTCAATGAACAGGTTTTGCTCTCTACTGAATTGGGTTGTCTTTGCTGCCCCCGTCTGGCAAGAAATGAAATTTTTCAGAACCCCCTTTACCCTGGTTTTGAAACTTGAGGGGTCAGGTTTTTTAAGGATCCAGCTTATTTCTGTGATCATAAGTTGTTTAAAAGGACATGGGTGGTGCTGTGGTCTAAACCACTGAGCCTCTTGGGCTTGCCAATCAGAAGGTTGGCGGTTCGAATCCCCACGACGGGGTGAGCTCCCATTGCTTGGTCCCAGCTCCTGCCAACCTAGCAGTTCGAAAGCACTTCAAAGTGCAAGTAGATAAATAGGTATCACTCTGGCGGGAAGGTAAACGGCGTTTCCGTGTGCTGCTCTGGTTTCGCCAGAAGCGGCTTAGTCATGCTGGCCACATGACCTGGAAAAACTGTCTGCGGACAAACGCCGGCTCCCTCGGCCTGTAAAGCGAGATGAGCGCCACAACCCCAGAGTCGTCTGCGACTGGACTTAACCGTCAGGGGTCCTTTAACCTTACCTTTTTAAAAGTTGTTTAAAACTGCTTTTAATATTGTGTTTTAAAGTTGTGCAACACCCTGCGACTTCAGAGGGAAGTACAGGTAATCAATAACAGAAATAATATTGAGTCTACAGGCTGAAAACGCAGGGAGGTCAATCTGTGTTTCAGATTGCATGATGGTTCACATCAGCATGGTTGCATGTGTTTCTGAGTAGCCTGCACTCAGTGGGCAGAGATGGGGCCTGGCTCTGTCTAGACAGCTTTACGTTTTCATATTAAAACACATCGAAATGCAGGATTTCTCAGGAAAGCACAGGGTAGGTGTGAATTGTGGCTACGATAACGCATGCACAGCTTCAGAAGCCATAGTTGGGGATGCACTGGTTGCAGGATTCCCAGTCGCACCTGAAGACTCCAGGGATGGCACCTGTGGGCTTCTGCACTCAAAGCAGATATCCTACCACTGAGCTGTTGCCCTCCGCCAGCTGCATCTCTGATAGGAGCCTTTGAGGACTTCACCACTTTCTGAAACAGATGTGCCAGGTCTCAGTCCTCCGCCCGTGGAACCACAACCACATTTTTGTAATGGTGCCTTTTCCCCTTTCCTTTTCACGATTACCATGCAAACAGAATCGGCCACCAACGTACCCAGCCTTTCGCCTCCCGCCCCTGCCCACTATAACCGACAGCGGTTTCCTTCTTGCTGTCTTTCAAATGTCCAAAGCAATATAGACCTCTAATGAATATTTCCGATGGCAAGATGAGAGTCTTTATTCTTTTTTTGGGGGGGGGAAGAGGGCGGTGTGGTGGGACAAGGAAGTGAGGAGACAAGGATGGTCGGGGAGTGAGAAACCCACAGATGCTGCTGTCGAAGCTCATTAACTTAAAATAACATTATTCTTTTTTTTCCATATTTTTCTTTTTTACAAAAATAACCAGAAAGGGGAAATAAAACAAAATAGAGGCTGTTCACTTCTCATGGAGAATCTGAAACATTTTCCTTCACGTTCCTAGGAATGTTAACTGTGTCGCTCATTTTAACGGCGTGTGGCATCCTGTGATTTTGTTCTTTGTTTTGCTTTCTTTCTAAAAAAACTATTTCATCCCTTTTGTTTGCATCCCTGAATTGCTGCGGTATGTTCTGCTCCACCTGACGCCCTCTGTCATAGCGATCTCTGAAGCTGTGCCGCTGTCCAAAGGCTGGCCAAGGCGAGGCCTACGCAGAGTCTGAGAGCTGAGCCGGATGAGGGCCACCCGGGAGAGGAAGACGTGCAGGAGCAGACTTCGCTCTCGGAGCGGCTCTCGTCGTGGTGCCCCTGCCTGGACCGGCCCCCTGTCCTGCTGCTCTCGGCCGGCTCAGGCGAATCCGCCTGCATGTCGCTGCACACCAGCCAGTCTCTGGCAATGGATTGTGGGTAACCGGGCTCAGCTTCCAAGTCACTGTCCATGACTTTCCAGTATTCTTTTCCCTTGAAGAAGTAGGTTGCCCCTGGAAAAGGAAGCAAAAGGGGAACCTGAGAAGAGCCTATCTGTCATGGAGCAAGTCAGTCAGTAAATCACACAGTTCAAAGCTGGAGTTAACTCGTTATTAGAAGAACATGATTTCCACAGACTCGGCTGGGTTTCAGACCTAATGAGCACAGCAGCTCATACCCTGTAGGTCCTACGCCATGAAATCAGTTGCTGAGATTAGAAGTCTGCCTTCCTACAGCCATCTATGTCTCCTCCCCTCCAGGGCTTCTTCCAAGCAATCAGAGACTGTGCCTGAGTGCAGCCCGTCTTTACTCCACCCATTTCATCCCTCTCCTGGTTTTGGGAGTCAGAGGGAGAGGGGACCTTGTTGCAGCAGGAGGAGGGACACTTGTGACTCTTCATTAGCCTGATTCATTTCTGCCTCTTGACTTCCCTCCTCCCACTTGCCGGCTTCAGCTTCTGCCTCTGATTCTCGACTGCTGTCTGCCATGTACTCCCCCAACTCACTGAGCCCTGTTACCCCTTCAGCTTCCAATAGCTCCTCTTCCTGGTCTTCTCCCTCTGACCACTCATCATTGTCCCACCACCGCTCCCCGGCCTCCGAGCTTTCTTCCCTTCATGGTTCCCCAGCTGGTTCCTCTCATCATTCCTCTCTGCATCCAACAAGTCCATGCCACTTGCTGGACCTGATTCATCTAGTTTGGTCTCCTGTTCTTGCAGAGGACAACCAGATGCCTATGAGAAGTCCACAAGGAAGACTCAAGTAGAACAGTGCTCCCTCTTCCTTTGTCCGTATTCATTCATTCCCTTTTCTCAGAAACATGTGGACTGGAATCGTACTGTCTTTTCATTGAAAGGGCAATAGCTCAGTGACAGAGCACAGAGCCTTGTGTGCAGAAGGCCCTAGGTGCAACCCCTGGCACATCTGAGCAGGGCTGGGTGGCACATCTGTCTGAACCTTAGAACAGCCTTTCTCAACCTGTGGGTCAACAGATGTTGTTGGACAACAACTCCCATCACCCCTAGCTATCAGGACCAGTGGTCAGGGATGATAGGAGTTGTAGTCCAACAACATCTGGGGACCCGAGGTTGGGAAAGGCTGCTATAGACAATAATAAGCTAAATGGTAGAGTATATGGGAATTTAGGATGAGTCCTGTTGCATCAGGGCAAAGGCCCATCTAGTCCAGCATCTTGTTCTCACATTGGCTGCCCAGATGCCTATGAACATGCTCAGTAGCCACAGAATGCTAGCTGACCTCTGGGTGGGGAGAATGTTAAGGGGCTGAGCATGCAGGACAGAATGTTGGTTGATCCTTGGGAGGGGGAATGGAATGCAGTATCCTGGCAATGGGCATGACCGGTACCCTGCATAGATGTGTTCCATGCGGCAACCTTTTGTTGTAGGCCCTGCATGCATATTTGAAATACAGTGGTACCTCGGGTTAAGTACTTAATTCGTTCCGGAGGTCTGTTCTTAACCTGAAACTGTTCTTAACCTGAAGCACCACTTTAGCTAATGGGGCCTCCTGCTGCCGCCGCGCTGCTGGAGCCCGATTTCTGTTCTTAACCTGAAGCACTATTTCTGGGTTAGCAGAGTCTGTAACCTGAAGTGTATGTAACCTGAAGTGTATGTAACCCGAGGTACCACTGTATTGCAAATTTTTCAATTTTAGTTTGAACTTGCAAACTGAAGGCAGATAGACACATACAGTGGATGCTCGAGTTGCGAATGTGATCCGTGCGGGATGCACATTCGCAACCCGCATCTGTGCGTCTGTGAATGCGCGGGTTGTGATTCGGCGCTTCTGTGCGTGCGCAAAGCGCGATTTAGTGCTTCTGCGCATGCGCGACTGCCGAAACCCGGAAGTAACCCATTCCGGTACTTCCAGGTTTTGGCAGTCCGCAACCGGAAAAAACACAACCTGAAGCGGACGCAACATGAGGTATGACTGTACTTCATAGGTTCCATTGCATAATTATTCTCCCTCATACTAGGGCTTCCACCATTTATATGGATAGTTGGCCATTTCATGCATCCATGGATCAAAACAATTAGGCCATCAAGAGGTTTGCTGTGACCACAGCAAAAGCGTGTGCAGCTAGTTACACAGTGTTAATTATTTTAATTATTAAATACAAGTTGGGAGGCACACACACTCATTCTGGCCTTTATGTTGTAGCATTCTGAGCACAGGGCGAAGTCTCGCCAGCTTGATGTACAGCCCCTCCCTCCTCCCGTTTGATCTAGTGCTTAACACTTACCGTCGGACCACCGCGTGGCATCATCCAGCCCACTGGGGACCCCCTTCCACAACATGGTCTCCAAAGGATAGCCAGGATCCATCCTCCGCTCGTGGTCATCATAGCACCAGTAGAGAGTGTCCTTAAAGAAATAAGTCTTGTCATTCTGGGCCCAGGAAAATGCGGCGTCGATGCCTCCCGGCGGCAAGCCAAAATCCGAGATGGGCCGGGGGTAACCTTCCTCCACATTATTGTCCTTGAAGACCCAGTATCTGTCCCCTGGGGAGAAGAAACAGACAGGTAGGTAGCAATGTCATTCCTGCTTCACAGCACAGAGCTAGCTTCTAAAAAAGAGAGAGGCTGTGGTAGTCTTTAGGTCTGAGTTCACAACGCTCCAGGAGGAGCAAATGCCCAAAAGTTAAGCACACGCGCGCGCACACACACACCACTTGCTGAGGAGTCTGTTTTAATGAGGATGTGTTGTGTGTGTTTTTATTGGCCAGGGGGAAGACATCCTTACTGGTGCATGAAGGCAAACATGTTCCCTTCTCACGAGTTTCTAGTTAATGCATATGTGAGTTTAAACCACAAGAGGGTACTGTTTGTCTAGCAATCCAGCAAGCACTTGTTTGTAAGTCTCTCTAAGTTAACTTCACCCCTAAAAGCTGAACTTTTTCGTTTGCTGTTCTCTACAGAGAAGAACTATGCTATTTCTCTCCTCAGCCACTCATTGTGCAGATAGTTCCTGCATGAATAAAGCCTTTGAGCTCCAAAAACTGTGAATGATCTTTTCAATTTAACTCACTCAAGCTGTCGGTATGGTAAAACTAGAAGCATCACCATACTCTTATATGCCTACTCAGGTGCATCAATCCGCAGAACTGGACTGCTACAAGTGCCACACAATGTCCATTTCACACTTGTAAGGAGGCATCTACTCTTTGGAACCCCCTGCCAATTGACATCAAGCAGTCACCTTCAGTGTACACTTTATAACACCTGCTAAAAACAATTTTATTCAGGCAAGCCTATCCCTAGATGTTTTAATCTGTCTTTGGTTATTTTTTATTTAAATTATATTTTGAATTCCTAACTTCCTGTTTCTAACTCTTTCAAAGACAATTTTAATTAAAACAATTTTTTTAAGCACTTGAAGGTTTTTTGTACAAGCAAGTGATATATAAAATTGTTAAATAAAATGAGCTCAGCTTTTCCCAACTTGGTGCCTTTTAGATGTTGCTGGACTACAAAGCCCATCTTCTCTGACCAAATGGCCATTCTGGCTATGGCTGATGGAAGTCCAACAGCATCTACGGGGTGCTAGGTTTGGGAAGGTTGGAGGAACTAAACGTATGTCCTCTAATGAGTTTCTACAGTGTGTCTTCTTCCACAGCAATATTTTAGAATTTATATATTAAGAGATAGTAACTGCATTTGAGCATAATGCCAGACCATGGTATAGCCTCTCCACAGGATCCCACTTTCCGTCTCTGTTTCCTGCAGCCACAAGGAGGAGATCGGAAGCTTCTGCTATGGTTATCCATTAGCTGCAACTTAGCACGTTGTCCTAAACTGTGGTTAATCTTAAACATCCTTAATACCAGCTTCATAAACAATGGCTTGGCTTGTTTTCACTAACCAACCATAGTTTATTGTCCAGATTCAAATGACATGGCAAACTGTGGCAACTCAGAAACGGAAGCAAAGCTTTTCGATCTTGGCCTTGCAGCCAAGGGAAGCCTGGGCTTGTTCCAAACAAGCCCATTAACTGGAAGAATGTTCCCAGCTCGCTTAATGGCCACCCTTTGAGATAAATGCATTGAGATGGAAATGGGAAACCCATGGCCCTCCAAATGTTGTTGGAATACAACTCCCATCCTCCCTGACCAGGGGCCATGCTGACAGAGGCTGATGGGAGTTGGAGTCCAACTCTCTAGCCCTGCTGTAAGGTAAGCAGAGTCTACCTAGACAACTTGGAGACGTCTGGAGGACTTAAGGTCTGCTGTAAATTAAAATGCTGAGGCTCTTACTTAGATTATTAGCGGGAGATTTTGGAGTTGTGAATCTAAAATAGAAATAAGTAGAAATACTTTATTGTCACTGTCACTGAGAATAAACGAGCCCCCCCTCCTCCCATCTCTCAGTCCTTGTTACACTCTGTGTGCGGTTGTATGACCACCAAGCCAGAACATCAACTGCAATGTTGCTGTCTTCCATTCAGCAGCCTCATGGCCCACTGGTAGAAACTGTTCTTTAGCCTGTTGGTGCGGCTTATCATGCTTCTATACAGGCAGGAGATTAAAAAGGTGCTGGCCAGGGTGTGAGTCATCCCTGAGAATGTTCCTCGCTCTTCTGAGGCAACGGTCTCCTGCGATAACATCTAGCGGACTCAGGGGGCAGCCCATGATATCATGTGCTGTCTTCACCACCCTCTGTAGGGACTTTCTGTCCATGGCTGTCAAACCAGCGTACCACACAGTAATATAGTATGAGAGAACACTTTCTATCGTGGACCGATAGAAGGAAATCATCAGTTGCTGTCTAACATTGTTCTTTTGCAAGACCCTAAGGAAATGAAGTCTCTGTTGGGCCTTCCTAACCACCTGGGCTGTCTTGACCTTCCAAGTAAGATCTTCACTAAGATGGACTCCCAGGAATTTAAAGGAAGAGACTCTCTCCACACGGCCCCCGCTGATATACAAAGGGGCTAGCTCCCCTCTCTTCCTCCGAAAGCCCAACACCAATTGTCTTGCCAATGTTTAGGTGCAGATTGTTCTCTGAGCACCATGTGGATACCTTTTGAACCTCCCCCCTGTATGCAGATTCGTCTCCGCCTGTAATTAAACCCATTATGGTGGTGTCATCAGCAAACTTAATAATTGCAGTAGATAGCAAAGAACACCTCCTTCTTACCTTCATAGACTAGGGCTAAGACTACAGTATTGTCAGGTGTGGGGGAAAGGGAAAGTTTGGGCACCAAGGAGACTTCCCAAGGCTGTGTGTGTTTTGCCTTTCAGTTCTTGCTGGCTGTGGCTGTCCTTTCCCGATTAGCCAGTGGAGGGCAGCATTGCTCAGTCGACGAGCCAACACCAGGCTCTCCTAACAATATCCTTGACACATGTATAATTCCATGTTTGTGTCGTGTTTCCAATAAAGAGGACTAATCCCTCTCCCCGTCAACTCCTGCCATGCCATCTGATTTCAAGGGGAAGAAGACAAAGATGCAATTTCTTATTGTGTCAGTGACTTTACGCAGAGGCTTTCTAGGTGAGTGAACTGCGGGGAGTGTGTTCACTTAGGAGTGGAGCACACATTGGCAAGCCTGCGTGTAATTGCCAGCCGCCATTCTCGGATGCTGGCAGAACAAGGTGTCTGGGTCAGAAGGAGGGGTGGAGGAGAAGTCTGGTTCAGTTTGCACTTAAAGGTAAACACCTGTGTGAATCCTAAATGAACCAAAATGCAGCAGTCCTTTGAAACTTGCACTTTTCTGAATTTTGCAATGCAGTTCTCTAGCCAAGTGGAAGTGAGAGCTGGACCATAAAGAAGGCTGATCGCCGAAGAATTGATGCTTTTGAATTATGGTGCTGGAGGAGACTCTTGAGAGTCCTATGGACTGCAAGAAGATCAAACCTATCCATTCTGAAGGAAATCAGCCCTGAGTGCTTACTGGAAGGACAGATCCTGAAGCTGAGACTCCAATACTTTGGCCACCTCATGAGAAGAGAAGACTCCCTGGAAAAGATCCTGATGTTGGGAAAGATGGAGGGCACAAGGAGAAGGGGACGACAGAGGACAAGATGGTTGGACAGTGTTCTTGAGGCTACCAGCATGAGTTTGACTAAACTGCGGGAGGCAGTGGAAGACAGGAGTGCCTGGCGTGCTCTGGTCCATGGGGTCACGAAGAGTCGGACACGACTAAACGACTAAACAACAACAGCCAAGTGTCATGGGCTGGTGAATGCAGAGGAATGGTATGAGGAACCACCTGGGAAATCCCCAAGGGAAGAAGGTTCAGAGTCCTGGGATTGGTGGTGGGGCAATGATGAGTGGTCAGAGGCAGAAGAGGACTGGGAGAAGGAGGTAGCAGAAGAGGGAACAGGGTTTAGTGAGCAGGGAGAGTCTGTGGCAGAAAGAAGTCCAGAATTGGAGGCAGAAGCTGAAGCAGCGGAGGAGGGAGCCCAAAAGGCAGAGAGGAGTCAGACTAGTGAAGAATAATGGGTGTTTCCTCCAGCTGCTGTGATAAGCTCCCTTTCTCACTGCTCTCCCGGAACTAGAAGAGGCATGAAAAAGGCGGAGGAAAGCTTGACTTCAGGCAGGTACAGTCTCTGATTGCTGGAGAAAAGCCCTGGAGAGAAGGAGAGTTAAACGGCTGTGGGAAGGTGGGGATTTTCAGTCTCAGAAACTGATCCATGGGGCAAGACGTACTGGAGATGAGCTGTTGTGCTCATTAGGACTGGCACTCCACCAAGTCTGGGCAGATGGTGTTCTTGCTAATAAAGAGTTAACTCCAACCTGAACAGTGTGATTTACTGATTGGCTCACTCCTGTCATAAAAAGTGAGGTGTACAAGTGTACAAAAACTATATGTACTGGAGTAAAGTGCACACAAAAATGCATATATGAATAAAAATAGCAAACAAAACTGCATTGCACTAGAAGAAGAGGAGTTTGGATTTGATATCCCGCTTTATCACTACCCGTAGGAGTCTCAAAGCGGCTAACATTCTTCTTTCCCTTCCTCACCCACAACAAACGCTCTCTGAGGTGAGTGGGGCTGAGAGACTTCAAAGAAGTGTGACTAGCCCAAGGTCACCCAGCAGCTGCATGTGGAGGAATGGGGAAGCGAACCCGGTTCACCAGATTACGAGACTACCTCTCTTAACCACTACACCACACTGGCTCCTGGGGGGAAATTGTTTTGCGAAAATGTGTAGATTAGGAAAAATTGTATTAGAATAAATTTGCAGTAAAATACTAATGAATTTGCAGCAGGATATATATATATCACAAATTGATTTGGACATGTGAAGAACTGAACCTAAGATGGGAAAAAAACAAGAAAGTGAAACTTACATTTTCGCCCCATCCAGAGTCAGAAGGAGTTGGTGAAATGTTGGCTGGAGGCATGTGGTGACAACACCCGGCGCAGGCCAATGATGTCATTAATCCATGTCAAGCACTATTGGCCCCCCAGTCATGCTCTTAGGACAGGACTTGAGGGCATTTTGGAGTAAATGAAGTGGTGAACATTACCATCTAAAGTTAGAGTGGGGAACCTTTGGCCTTCGAGATGTTGCTGGAGTCCAGCACCCATCATCACTTCCCATTTGCTAGGCCAGTGGGATTTGGAATGCTGTGAATGTGTGGAATGCCACAGGTTCTCCACCCCTGATCTAAAAAGAGGCTTCCTTGCAAGATCATGCATTCCAAAGTCTAAAATTACCCAGGTGAGACACAGCTCACCACAAGACATTAGCAACATGCAGCTGGGAAAGCCCAGGAGACTACTAGAGTGATGTTCAGCCTGATCATCTGGAATCAAATCAAAGCTTGTCATTTGAGACAAGTAATTTTCTTCCAGCTGTGCAATCTGTACTCTAAAGCTTAGAGTTGAGGCTCAAAGAGGCTTAAACACAGTGGGGGAACAAAGAATCTGGGAATGCCAAAGAGAAGGTCACCTACAACTGTGTCAAATGCTTTCTCTTACCTTTGAAGAACACAATCTTGTGGTCGTGGGTTCTCTCATAAACAGCATCCACACTGTCCAGGTTCAGAGGCAGCCCTCGCCAGAAACGATGGATCTGAGCTGGCTGGAGGGAGACCAGATGTTTGTTGCGAGTCAGTCTCCAGAAGTATTTGCCTGGATGAAGAGGCATTGGTTAGTAGGAGATTGTTATGTACTGAGTTGAATAGGATCCAAAAGGCAGCAGTCTGATTGGTCCTAGAACAATAGGATCCAAAATGCAGCAGTCTGATTGGTCCTAGAACTATAAGATTCAGAATGCAGCAGTCTGATTGGTCCTAGAACAATGCAGCAGTATGATTGGTCTGCAGGAGCCACCCAATCCAGCTCCAGGTGGAAGTGAATCCACAACCTGATTGGCCTACAGGAGAATCCTGGAATTAGCCAATCACATGCAGCGCATTGTATAAATAATGTATATAAAGCAGATATTTTGGGGAAACTTTCATCCCTCCTCACCACTAGGAGCTGAATAAAGAGCATGAAATCCACACTCGACTCCGAGTATATTTCAGAGATGCAACTCTTTCTTCCCCAGGGGCATTTCTTTTTCTCCCTTGACAATTTTTTATTTTTGCAGCCCTCTGAACAACAGCTGGTTGAAGGAAGCTTGTGGAACTTGTGGTCAGAGCCCCAGCAGCCTTCATGGTTTTGTTAGCATTCACATGGGTAACCTCCTGTACGATGCACATGCAGCAAAAATCCCATGGGAGGCGGGAAATGCTTTGCTAACTCAAGACGGCCCTTGCAAGTCTGTATTCAAGGTGGCTTGGCTCCTTCCTGACTTCTGCAATTCAAACAGGTGGTGACGTAGTCTTTCAGAAAATTGGATCCTAGCCTAATAGTGCAGAAGGCAAAAGGGGGGGGGGAGCCCACAACACAACCCCCTCTCTAAGCTCTTCAACATCTGCAGGGCGGTTCAATTTTTTTTCTTTTTAAAAATACAGTTGTAAGGATTTATTTCATCAGCTGGTAATTATGCACCACTTTGCATATTTGTTTTATATGACACGGGCCGATGCATGAATAATGCATTGGAATGCAGTCTGGATAGCAGCAATTACAAATTCTTTGAAGATGGTGGGGTTTTTTCTTTTTTTAAAAGGACGGGAAAATTAAAACCTCAGCCTTCGAATTGGGTGCCCTTTGCATGTTTATGGGAAATGCATGCAATTAGCGTGAGATGTTCTTTGCATCCCTAATGAAGCTTTTGCTACAAAAAGGGCAGCTTCCCAATATTTCTGGGAGAAATATCGCCGGGTCAATCGTTCCTCCCCAGCCTCCCCCTCTGAAAAGGTATTAAACACCCAAAGTTCAAAGTGTTCCAAAGCTAATTTGTCATAAATGCTGTCAGGAACACAGGGGAAGTGTAGCTTAGCGGGAGAGAATATGGTCTGCATGCAGAAGGTCCCAGTTTCTTTTCTGGATAACCTAATCCAGGTTTCAGGCTCTTTCCTACATAGAGAAGGGCAGGAGGAGCTCTGTAGGCGGCTGACTAGTTAAAAAGCTGCCAACCTCCAGAAGAAGACTATTATACTCTTTTGATGGGTATCCTTGCCCTTTTTTTGATTGCCTCCCTTGGGTCAATTTCTAGAGTGCAAGACGCATGGGACATGGGCCTGTCCTTTCATCACTTGCAAAGTATGATTTACGTGGGTGGCATTTATTATTCCTCCTCCCAGAGGAGCCAGCAAACTCCCGGCCTCACCATCTCCATCTGCAAAATGGGGCTAATAGTGCTGCTGTCCATTTCACATGGCTGCTCTAAGGATGTCAGGAACTGGGTGGTGGCTGAATGCTGAGGAGTGGGGCACCCGGAGAAGTGGGGGTTGGAGACTGACTTGGAAGAAGGGATTGGTGATCCGTAGGAGCCTGTTACAGCTGGGAGACGAGAGTCAGAGACAGGAGAAGGTGCAGGACTGGAGAATGAAGAAGAGGTGTAGAAGGAGAAAGAGATAGCTCAGGCTGATATAGAGCCAAGGGCTTCCACACCTCCTCCTGACCCCACCTCTCCTGCCCCACTGTCTCCCAGGACCAGAAGAGGAGTGAAGAGGGAGGAGCAGAGGCAGTTTACAAGCAGGTTGCAAGCCAAGGTCAGGGGTGAGGCCTTTTAGTTGCGGCAACTGCCTCATTGGCTGCACATCTAGGAGAAGTTGGGAGGCATAGGACTGATGGACATGCCTTTCCCTAACCTGACAATAAAGATTATATTCCTCACTCTGGATATTTCGTGCCTGTCAGTGCCATGACAAAGGGCTACTACTGTAATACTGAACGTGAAATGTTCTGAACACTCCATAAATACTAAATATGATGATACAGTTGTTGCTAATGATGACATTATTATTATTATTATTATTATTCTGGGGGGTGGTTCAGGCGGCGAAATGTACAAATATAATACGGGTTATGTCAGGCTGTCAGCAAGTCAGTAGAAAAGTGACGCTTGCTAGTATCCTATTAGAATGATAGTACACTGGAGACAATGCATCCATGTAGGTTATTGGGGCAGGAAGAGATTAATATACAGTATATATAAGATCTAGAATACTTGGCTCAGTTAATCTCTTTTAAGAACCATGATAAGTTACAAAGAACAAATGGGTTGTCTTACATTGAATGACGTTGACTGCCTTTCCATGATTTGCATTTAGCATTTGGATAGTGTTTGTAGAATTATAATCAGGTGAATTTTTGTAGTGGCTGTTTTTCTTAAAAAATAGAATATTTTATTCAAAAACATTACTCCTAATAATCATATATCGTCGTCATCAGAAAGAAGACGACAATGAAAGCAGAGGTGGCTTGGAACAAACGCTTTTGCAGTCAGAAAGCATCTTAGCCAAGGAACCATTGGAGATTCTCCAAATTTTGACTGCACAAGAGCTCTCGCGGGAGAGCAACCGAAGACGAGGCTGTACCCAAGCTTCTCTGCTTCTCTCCCTTTTTTCACTCCCGGACACGTCTTGCGAGCAGCTGTTGCAGAGTGTGATGCCAGATGGGTTGCATCATTAAGGCACACATAGCTGGAGTGTTAGGGACTTGAACAGAGTCTCAGGCTGGGGAGACAGAAGCCTTAGGGAAGGATTGGAAGGGGCCTCATCTATCCTAGAACAAGCATCAGGGCCTTGCCAGGGCTTGCTGGTACTGCCATGGGGCTCCTGTGGCTGCTGCAGCTCTTGCCTCTGCCTTGCTCATTTATGGCAGCAGCTGGCGGAGACTAGAGAGGTGACCCTTGCTTAGGGCTCACACACTAGAAGTTGCCACCATCATTACACCAGCCCTGCCCCTATATGCATACCAAGTCAGACCATTGATTCAGGGCTGTCTACACGGGTGGCGCTGTGGTCTAAACCACTGAGCCTCCTGGGCTTGCTGATTGGAAGGTTGGCGGTTCGAATCCCCACGACAGAGTGAGCTCCCGTTGCTTTCTCCCAGCTCCTGCCAACCTAGCAGTTTGAAAGCACGCCAGTGCAAGTAGATAAATAGGTACTGCTCTGGCAGGAAGGTAAACGGCATTTCCATGCACTCTGGCTTCTGGCACGGTGTTCCGTTGTGCCAGAAGCAGTTTGGTCATGCTGGCCACATGGCCCAGTGTAGGAATGATTGCTGGGTGTGGAGCACACTTCCCACCCGCAGGCAGCCTCAGCTGTCTGCACGCGTGACCTTGGGGTGCGGGGCACACTCCCCCTCACAGATAAAGCCACAGCTGTCTGAAAATCTTGCCCTCTGTGTAACCTATTGCGGTCTCAGTAGTCTGCGGTGTCCTGTCTGTGACCTTTGTCTCTGAGACCTTTGTCTCCTTCGTCATACACTGTGCAAGGGGAAAATGACATGGTGGAAACAGGTGCCAAAATAGCTTTGTACCACCCCACGATCTTGGGACTGGAAGATGTGTAAAGGTCACAGCCCAAAATGTATCTGCCTGGGTTTGCATATTGTGTCAATAAAAGGAGCCTCCACAGAGCTGGCCGGCAGCTTGCTTGCAGCTCACCTGCATTATCAACTCCTGCCTCATGTTCTTCACTTCAGCCCAGAAAGCTGTCTGTGGACAAATGCCGGCTCCCTCGGCCTGAAAGCAAGATGAGCGCCTCAACCCTACAGTCACCTTTGACTGGACATAATTGTCCAGGGGTCCTTTAGCTTACCTTTTTTTTACACTGACTGTCAGTGGCTCTCCAGGGTTTGAGACAAGGGGCCTCTCCCAGACCTGCCTGGAGATGACAAGCATTGAACCAGCTATGATCTTTCCCCAACTAGTGTGGCCTGGAAGCAAACCCAAGCAGCGTGCTGTTTTTTTTAAAGGAAAAGAGCCACATGCTCACCTTTGAAAAAGAAAGCCTCTCCTCGAATCTGAGCCACTGCGTCAAAATGTGTGTTGCATCTGTTGGGCACGTCTCTTCTGAGCCTAGTGGAACACAAAACAAAACGGCGTTGCTTATCATTCGTGATGTCATAGGTTCTGTCCAATCAGGCAGGGCTACCCAAAGCTGTCAATAGCTAGGGCACAGTCGTTGCTTTTGCTCCCCCCTGCGGAACACTTCTTTATTGCACTCAAAAATGAGTTTTCGTTTCTTGATTATCTCTGAGAATAAGGGGCATTCTCCTTGCTACTGCAAGAAAGCCAAGGGCACCAGGTCTAGGAAATTCAATCCCTGGCATCTTCATTAAAAAAAATCAGGTTGTTGTGATTTAAAAATAAAATAAAAATGGCAGATGAAGATGATGGACTATATGGAACTTGCCAAACTGACTGGGAGACTCTGAGACCAGAGAGAAAAGATGGTGGAAGAAGATTGGAACAAGTTTAAAGAATATTTGAAAAAAATATGTTAATAGTTAAATCTTAGAATAGCTTTGGAAGTGGATAGAGGCTGTAGGGTTAGAAGTAGAAGATAGCGTATTTTAAAATAGTATTATTTGTAAGTGACAAAATGTGAAGATTTTTATGGTAAAAGTGAACGTGATAAAAAAATGGTTAAAAATTAGGATATATGTAAACTGCTAAAGATGAGGTAAAATGAAAATCAGATGGGGGACTTGGGGAAGCTCATCTAACAATGTTTAGAAAAAATAAGGGTAATACAAGAATTTGTTTGTATTGTTTGTTTTTCTGTTTGTGTTGTTTAGTTGTGTTATAAAATGAATAATTTTTTTTGAAAAAACAAAACAAAATAAAATATCCTTTGTCCTGGAGATCCACAAATCTGAGCCAGAGAAACACCTCTCAGCTTTTTCTAATATGCTGCATTAATTAGTCTACCAGAAGCTGCAGAGTGGCCCACTCTGGACATTTTACATCGTATACCTAATTTACGCCCTTTGGATCCGCATCTTTTCCAGTGCAAGAGATTTAGCAACACATTTAATTCTGAAATCAGTGGGATTTGAAAAGGTTTGAGTTTGTCTGGATCAAATATACTTTGGAGTTCTTCTTTCAGCTGAAAATTCTGAGGTGGTGCTGATGGACTACCTCTGCAGGGAGGGTCCTTGCCAAGCTCCCTTCCCAATGGCAGCTGGTGCCCCTGAAAACGGGTAAGGCAGAAAGTAGGGAGCCTCAGCAGTAGATGGAGCCAGAGCCAATGGCAGATGGAGCCAATTTATTCTACTTTTGTCAGCGTTCTCCTCCTTGAGTTCTACAAGGGCAACACTGAGATGAAGGAGGAGGAAGCTAACAGGCCAGCTCCAGGGGGCCGAGGTGTCTTCAGACCCCTTGAAATCTCTGGGCAAGGGGCCAGGCTCCCTCAATGTTGAGGGGGCGGAGGAGGCAGCTCCCAAAGGTTGGCCTTCTCGCCTGTCGACCTCCTCCATGTATTGTCACATGTCCACTGAAGGTCCAGCACTGTGGCGTGACCCTCTGAGGAGCCCCGCGTGCTGGTGCCAGGTGTGTGTGATGTCACACATGTGTGATGGCCTGGGACTTGGGCTTAGACTCGGAAGCAGAGGAGTCTCAGTCCGCACCGGATCCTTTGCCTCAGGCATCATCTGAACCAAGTCTGGGGCCTGATCCTGAAGAGTCCCAGTCTGCACAGGTTTCCCTGCAACAAACACCAGCTGGACCGAGTCAGGGGCCTGAGCCTGCCCTGGCTCCAGATGTGGGGATTACCTCGTTGCCTTCAGCTGGGCCATCACTTACAGCTGCTCCACTACCAGTTTGGTCAGGGGAGGCTGAGGCTGCCTCTGGGTCTAGTCACCCACCGACGTCTCCCGAGCTGCAGAGACTCAGGTCTGAGAGAAGGAGAGACCTGAGTACTCGCAGGAGGAGTGCTCGCCTTTGGGCGAGACAGGGAGGTGAGTCACTGGGGGATCAGGACTGGCCGTTACCTCGACAAAGATAAAAGGCTGTCGGACCCCGCCCCAGGTTACGGGAACAACATTGCTGTTTGCTATAACCTGCCTGAGACCCTGCGCCCGACCTAGCCTGGTTTCCTGCTTGGGCCCTGTCGGACTGACTCCTCACGGAATCCTTGAATTCGGGACCGGACCTGGACCGCGTTGCTCGGGTTAACCCCTGGGCCCAGCACAACATGCACAACAGCCCCCTGCATAGCTGTCAACCTTCCCTTTTTTTGTGGGCAATTCCCTTATTCCAGCGCCATTTCCTGCTGCTATCCCGGATTGTTATATATCCCATAGACTGTCCCCGGGACAGGTGAGGCTGCTGATCCCTTATTTTCAAATCTGAAAGTTGACAGCTATGGCCCCCTGCAATGTTGTGTACAACTCAGTTCCTCTGGCTGGGTGTAAGTAAGTAGGCAGGTAATTGGAGACTGGTTGGGTGCAAACTAAGGCTGCTGAGGCAGGGCCCAATTCACACCAATAGACCAGCCTCCATTGCCCTATCTCTTATGATCTTTGGAGAATCCCACATGACACACAAGAATCATAGAATCGTAGAGTTGGAATGGACCCCAAGGGTCATCTAGTCCAACCCCCTGCAATGCAGGAATCTCAGCTCAAGCATCCATGACAGTTGGCCATCCAACCTCTGCTTAAAAACCTCCAAGGACAGAGAACCCACAACATCCCAAGGGAGACCATTCCATGGTCAAACAGCTCTTGCTGTCAGAAAGATTTTCCATATGTTTAGTCAGAATCTTCTTTCTTGTAGCTTGAAGCCACTGCTTCGAGTCCTACCCTCCACAGCAGGAGAAAACAAGCTTGTTTCCTCTTCCAAGCCCTTGAGATATTTGAAGATGGCTACCCAGCTTCTCATAAGGCTTGGTTTCCAGACCCTTGATCATCTCAGTTGCCCTCTTCTGCACACCTTCCAGCTTGTGCAGGGCTTGTTTCCAGGGAGAACTCATGGGAACTCAGTTCTGACACCCCTCAGGTGGACGCCATTACCATTCTTCTCCACGCAGAAGACCTACCATTTGCTTGTTCTTCCTCTTTGCTTCAGACATAGACGAATAAACCTTTAAAAAATATTTTTAACCTCTCTTGCAGGCCTGAGCTCATTCTGAGCTTTAGCCAGCCTGACCTTCCCCTGCAACTGTTGGCTACTTGTGTAAACTCCTCCTTTGTGATTTCCCCTTCCACTTCTTATGCATGCCCTTCTTAGCTCATCTGTAAGCTCCTTATTCATTCACACAGGTTTCCTTAGATCCACTTTTTTTTCTTGTTGAAACTGTCTGCATTAGGCCCTTCAATATTTCTCCATTTAGAAACTCCCCTCCATCTTGGACTCCTTTCTCTTTGAGTATTTCTGACTACAGGATGTCACTCAGTAGCTCCTTAAGCTTTTTGAAACTGGCCTTCTTAAAGTCCAGAGTGCGTGTCAGACTACACTCAGCTTTCCCTTTCCTCTGTATCATGAAACCAGGAAGACACGATCACTTCCTCCCAAGTTTCCGAGTACAGTGGTACCTCGGGTTAAGAACTTAATTCATTCTGGAGGTCTGTTCTTAACCTGAAACTGTTCTTAACCTGAAGACCACTTTAGCTAATGGGGCCTCCTGCTGCCGCCATGCCGCCGGAGCACGATTTCTGTTCTCATCCTGAAGCAAAGTTCTTAACCTGAAGCACTATTTCTGGGTTAGCAGAGTCTGTAACCTGAAGCGTATTATAACCTGAAGTGTATGTAACCCAAGGTACCACTGTACCTTTATTGAACCCCCCTCCCTGCAAATAAACCCCAATACCTCCCCCTAGATTTATTTGAGCCCCTCTAAACTGTGCCAGCCTTTCAGCCACCAAGTGAAACTGTGCGAGCGGAGAGATCGTGCAAATTTCAGGTGAGGAAGGGCACCGATTAAAATTTCATGTATGGCGAGTTCCCCCGAGAGTGATGGCGGACGAGTTTTCCCTGTCGTGCTGAGTAAGCTGCTGTGATACAAGGTGACTTGAGGACATGGAGAGGGAGCTGAACTTCTCTCCACCCTGCTGGGGAGCAATTCATTTTGTCAGTTATTGAAAAGGTGGGCTCTGGTTCCCCCAGGAAAGAAGAGCCAGGAGATGGCGGTCCAGTCTAGAACAAGAGTAGCAAAACAGTAGCATGGGTGGGGAAGGACCATAGGTCAGTGGGAGAGCATCTGCTTTGGGTCTCAGGTTCAGTCCCCAGCATCTCCAACTCATGCTGGGGAAGCCTTCTTTCTGAAACCCTGGGGAGCCACTGCCAATCAGTGTGGGCAATATTGAGCTAGATAGACCAAAGGTCTGACTCATATTAAGCCAGCTTTCAATGTTCCTAAGTTCAGCAATAGGTACCCATATCCTTTTTAGACCACTGCATGGAGAATAAAAGTAGCTCATGAGCCTACAGAGACTGACCATCAATACAAAGGATGCCTATCCAGTGCAGTTGTCTCCAACCTGATGCCCTCCAGATGTTTTGGACTTCAACTCTCATCACCTCTAGTCACTAGCCATGCTGACTGGGGCTGGTGGGAATTGTCATCTGAAACATTTGGAGGGCACCAAGTTGGGGAAGGCTTGTCTAGAAGGCACTCAAATACCACATCAGCTGGAGAGAAGTGGGTTCAGATGTAATTATTTTGTTTATACCTCACTTTCTGTGGGACGTGGGTGGCGCTGTGGGTTAAACCACAGAGCCTAGGACTTGCTGATCAGAAGGTCGGCGGTTCGAATCCCCATGACGGGGTGAGCTCCCGTTGCTCGGTCCCTGCTCCTGCCAACCTAGCAGTTCGAAAGCACGTCAAAGTGCAAGTAGATAAATAGGTATCACTCCAGCGGGAAGGTAAACAGCGTTTCTGTGTGCTGCTCTGGTTCTCCAGAAGCGGCTTAGTCATGCTGGCCACATGACCCAGAAGCTGTACGCCGGCTCCCTCGGCCAGTAAAGTGAGATGAGCGCCGCAACCCCAGAGTCGGTCACGACTGGACCTAATGGTCAGGGGTCCCTTTACCTTTACCTCACTTTCTAGGCAAAATGGGCTCCCATACCATGCTCATTTGCCTCCTGAGTGATCCTGCTCACTGCTTCTCTTGCCTCCCACCCACATGATTTCTATCGTTCAAGGGGGAGGATGAGAGCTGGGTTCTTCATCATGTAGGGAGCCTACTTGAATAGACGGGAAGAGCTGTAGCTTAGTGGTAGCACATCTGCTCTACGTGCAGATGGTCCCAGGTTCAATCCCTGGGAGGGGATTCAAATTCAGAATTTCAGTGTTTGCAAATGCGGATTTTGGAACTCCCACTCCTGTACTTCAAACTCAAAGTTTGATTGGAGAATTCCAGTTCTGTGCCCTACGCTTGCTTTTCCACCGAAGAAGATGAGGATGGGTTGTTGACTCCTGAACTCAACTTACGGAACAGTGGAGCGATTCTCCGGTAAGTCTGGCAAGATGGGGTGGTCCTCTGTTTTCGATATTTCAGGTTTGGCTGTTGGGGACACAGACTCCCTGACCCCTGCATGCAAAGACAAGGATGAATTAGACCAGCAAGGGGTGGCTTATCCATCTTGGGGCAGAAGTAGAGAGAGGTCAGGCAAGCAGACAGACTGCCCAGCCAAGCTTTTCATGAGCTGGTAGGTCCCTAGCCTCACCATAAAAGCATGAAACCCTGTTCTGAGGAGTGTCTAGTTCTCCAGCTGATTTTTTCTGTGGGAGGTACCCTTCAAATGCAAAAAGAACGAAATGCAAAAACTCAAAACAAAACCCAGAGGCTGGAGGAAATTTGTGATCCTATCAAATGTCATAGAAGCCCAGGCTGCAAGCCCTATTGCTGAGGTGTTGATTGCATTCTGCCTGCTCTCTGTACCACCTCCTAGTGACTGGAGCAGTTTGGGGTTGGGTTGAACCAATAGTGTGGGCAAACTCATGGACCACAACAGCAAAGAGGTCTATCATACGGGTGCCTGAAAATAACAGGGTGGTGTATAAATATCAGATCAGTGCGGAATCCTCTTGGCTGTGTCAGGTAATGCCAAGGAGCCAATGGCATGCCACCAGCTACTATATAAACCTTCTAGATCTGCTATGCTCCTCCCATCTGGGCCATTCATAATTGAAGATAGCTACCAGGCTATTCCCTCTGCTCCACCTACAGTGAGGATAGCTCAGTCGGTAGAGCACGAGACTCTTAATCTCAGGGTCTTGAGTTCAAGCCCCACATAGGACAAAAGATTCCTGCATTGCAGGGGGTTGGACTAGATAGCCCTCATGGTCCCTTCCAACTCTTCAATTCTATGATTCTATGATACTTGCCAGCCTATAGTTCCAAGCGCCTGACATCTCCGCTGTGCAGGGAAACGGAGCCATGCCTCCTGGTTTCTCAACACCAGTTCTTCACCCAACCAACTTGACATGTGCACAAACAGACCCGGGCTCACCATAGAGTTGCCATATCCGGACTTTGTCATCGTAAGGCAGGTCATACTTCAGGGGATCTCCGACGGGGCCCTGGTAGTACGGCCTCATGATCGACTCTATGGCAGAGATGTGGGTCAAGCCAATGGCGTGGCCAAACTCGTGGACTGCCACGGCAAACAGATCCATCCCATGGGTATCTGAAAATAACAAGCAGGCAGGGAAAGATGCACAAATAAGTAAATAAATGTATAACTGATTGCCCTTCCCATCCTTTTGCAAGCATACACATGCAATTTAAACAATAGAGTGGAGCTTCTTTCCCCTCCCTCAGAGTTTGTTTACGCAACAGCATAAAATATAGAGGAGAAAATCTTCAGCAGGGTATCTAGAATACAAAAAAAGCAACAAGATGACAGCGTCAATCAGAATGCAATCAAAAGAAAAATTAAGAAAGGAATGGAAATGTGTTGAAGAATATATTGTACAAAATCATTCTGTTAGAAACCTCTGGATAAGTATAGATTGAACCCATTAAGTTAAGAAGCTATATTTTTAATAGATGAATGATCATTCTAATGAACAAAACTGAACACAATATTAGAATTGTGTGGTTTTTTTAAAGTAACAAGTTGGATATAACGCATATGGGTGAAGGAAGTCAAATGGGTATTTGGGTAAAAGGAGAGGTGGTTATAAGGTTAGGTGTGGGGAATTATATATAGAAATAATATATTACACGTTATGTACAATGTTGAATGTGTCTGACAATTAACATGTACAGTCATACCTCGGGTTAAATATGCTTCAGGTTGAGCGTTTTCAGGTTGTGCTCCATGGCGACCAGGAAGTAATGGAATGGGTTACTTCCGGGTTTTGTCGCTCGCGCATGCGCAGACGCTCAAAGTGATGTCACGCGCATGCGCAGAAGCGGCGAATTGGACCCATGTATGTGCAGACGCGGGTTGCGTTCTACTCAGGATGCGAATGGGGCTCCGGAACGGATCCTGTTCACATCCAGAGGTACCACTGTAACGTGAATTATTATTTTTTTAATAAAAAAGAATAGCTTGCTATATCAGGCTAATGGCCTATCTAGTTCAGTATCCTATTCTCACAGCGGCCAACTAGATGCCCCTGGGAGACCAGCAAGGAAGATCCTAGCACAAGAGCAATGCTCCCCTCCTGTGCATAGCTGTCAACTTTTCCCTTTTCTTGCGAGGAATCCTATTCGGAATAAGGGAAACGTTGACAGCTATGCTCCTGTGGCTTCCAGCAGCTGGTACTTAAAGCATTGCTGCCTCCAGCTGTGTGAGCAGAGCAGAGCTATCATCTCTAGGAGCCACTGATAGCCCTCTCCTCCATGAATTTGCCCAAGACCATGAATATGTCCAAGCCATCTAAGTATGTAGCCTTCACCACCTCCTGGCAGACTGATTTCCATAGTTTGACCATGTGGTGCATGAATAAATACTTTCTTTTATCTGCCCCAAATCTTTGGACGAAAACAGAAAATGACAACCTCCTCCCAGTTATTAATAATAATAATAATAATAATAATAATAATAATAAATTTATACCCCACCCATCTGGCTGGGTTTCCTTAGCCCCTCTGGGCGGCTCCCAACAGAATATTAAAAACATGATCAAACATTAAAAACTTCCCTAAACAGGGATGCCTTCAGATGTCTTCTAAACGTCAGATCGTAGTTTATTTCTTTGATATCTGATGGGAGGGTGTTACACAGGGCGGGCGCCACTACCAAGAAGGCTCTCTCCCACCTCTCACCTGGGAGCTTTCTTTTCCTCTCTCTTACCTGGAGAAACTGCCAGTGACCTGTTTCTCACTCGGGGTCCTTCCACCATCTACAGTATCTGCCACTCTCATTTTATTCTCTCTCTGTCCTTGCCAACAGGCCTTGGCTTGCAAAGAACCCAATCTCATTGTCAACAGCAAGCTGCCAATTAACAGCACACTGCTAGTGCAACATCTCCAGCCCGACTCCTTGGCTGGACAGCTCCACTGCTGCTTCAGCAACTCTTACTTTGGATCTGCTCCTGCTGCTACAGCAGTTGACCCACTGGAAGCCTTTCTCTTTCTTTTCTTTATATACATATACATATACATATACATATACATATACATATACATATACATATGTTTTTGTGTGTGTGTGTGTGTGTACACACACACACACACACACACACACACATATCATTTCCAACAGTCATTTATTTTCTTATACAATGTTTTAGACTTCCATCAACCGCATCTGAAGATTTTTCAGTCTTTGTCACTTAATCTACATTTCTTAATTTCTCTATTACTTTTGTCCTTAACTAATACCTCTTTTCATAGTCTTCATTTCAATATTTCGCATAATCCTCCTTACAAAACTTCTTGCAATCCTACTAGTGTAATCTGTTTATTACAATTTCTTTTCAAATAATTCAAGTATCTACTCCAGTCCTCTAAGAATCTCTGGTCCCGCGGGTTTCGAATCCTTCCTGTCACCTTATCTAGTTCTGCATAGTCCATTAACTTCATTTGCCACTCTTCTTTCATCGGTAATTCTTCTTGTTTCCATTTTTGTGCCAATAATATTCTTGCTGCTGTTGTTGCATATAAAAACAATTTACTGACCTGTCTGTTAATAACCTCCCCTACAATGCCAAGTAAAAATGCTTCTGTTTTTTTAAAATAAATGTATATTTCAACATCTTTTTCATCTCATTATATATAATTTCCCAGAAGCTTTTCACTTTCTTACGTTCCCACCATATGTGATAAAAAGTTCCTTCTTTTTCTTTACATTTCCAACATTTGTTACTTACTTTATACAGTGGTATCTCGGGTTACATACACTTCAGGTTACATATGCTTCAGGTTACAGACTCCGCTAACCCAGAAATAGTGCTTCAGGTTAAGAACTTTGCTTCAGGATAAGAACAGAAATCGTGCTCCGGCAGCGCGGCAGCAGCAGGAGGCCCCATTAGCAAAAGTGGTGCTTCAGGTTAAGAACAGTTTCAGGTTAAGAACGGACCTCCGGAACGAATTAAGTACTTAACCCGAGGTACAACTGTACATTTTATACATGTATAAAGGAAGCCTTTCCCTTTCTATAGAGGTTCGTCCTCCTTTGGCCTCCCCCTTCTTCCCTCGACGCTCATGGAGGCAAACAGGGCACTCCCGCACATTTCCGCAGCTCTCTTACCCTGACGTACCTGATGATCGGAAAGTCCAATATTCATCATCGTCAAAGTGAGTGTCCCCGGCGGTGTGGTGTTCCCCTGGGAAGAAAGCGTGGGCGACTGTTCCGCCAGGACCGTCGAAGGGGTACCCATCGTTGTGGTCCGTTTTGGAGAAGTCGATCTGGATGTCGGCATTGTTGCCAGCCACTTCGTGGAAATTCAGCGGCGTGATGTCGCTCCACACCTTCAGGGCGTAGTACATGAGGGCACGGACTGTGTCGTGGCCCAGATGAGATTCCTTGGGGAAAGTGCGAACTCTGGAATGGAAAAAGGCAGCCCATGATCAGAAAAGAACAGCTCCAAACTAAATTATACTCAGGGTAAGGTAAAGGTAAGGGGACCCCTGACCATTAGGTCCAGTCGTGGCCGACTCTGGGGTTGCGGACCTCATCTTGCTTTATTGGCCGAGGGAGCCGGCGTACAGCTTCCGGGTCATGTGGCCAGCATGACGAAGCCGCTTCTGGCGAACCAGAGCAGTGCACAGAAACGCCGTTTACCTTCCTGCCGGAGCGGTATCTATTTATCTACTTGCACTTTGACGTGCTTTCAAACTGCTAGGTTGGCAGGAGCAGGGACTGAGCAATGGGAGCTCACCCCGTTGCGGGGATCTGAACCGCCGACCTTTTGATCGGCAAGTCCTAGACTCAGGGTACTCAGGGTAGACCTACTGAAATTAATGGACCCAAGTTAGTCTTGTCTGTTATTTTCAATGGAAGCAACCCTGGATACAGCCACCTTTTTTGGATGACCGTGACACATTTGTTTTATATATATATGTACAGTGGTACCTCGGGTTACAGATGCTTCAGGTTACAGACTCCGCTAACCCAGAAATAGGACCTCGGGTTAAGAACTTTGCTTCAGGATGAGAACAGAAATTGTGCTTCGGCGGCGCAGCGGCAGCAGGACGCCCCATTAGCTAAAGTGGTGCTTCAGGTTAAGAACAGTTTCAGGTTAAGAACAGACCCCCAGAACAAATTAAGTACTGAACCTGAGGTACCACTGTATTTGATACCATTGGTCCATGTTCACTCCTGACAGGTCTCAGGATGCTGTGACTTTTTTTTTTTAATGAGGGCAGAGACTGTCTTACTACTGATCTTTGCAAGCCGCTCTGGGAAGGTTTTCTGGCCAAGCAGTGGGGCAAAAACTGTTTAGTTATTTAAACAGTTCCCCTGGAAAGAGAGAAAGAACCCTAAAAATGAAAGTGCTAAAATTAGGTTTGCTGCTTGTTTGGAGAAAGCTTAGTTGATTAATTTGATGAGCTTTCAAGTGAGTGAAGAAATCTGCATAAATGCGTGTGCAGTTTTGAAGAGGAAAAAGAGAGAAAACATGTTTTGTGTGTCTTTAAGATTGTGCATGTGAAGACACACACACACACACACACACACACACACCCCCCTCATTCCCCCATGTGACAGTGAATGGCAGATGCCTCTTTTAAAATGGAGCCCTGCTTCCTGCAACCTTTGTAAACACTTACAAGATTTGTTTTGGAAAAAAAATGTCATCTGATGAATTAGAGTGCTTTTTCAATTTCTTTAAAGGGTTTTTAATTAATCAAGCCGGTGAATTAATTAAAGGCTGCAGCCCCAATTAAAATTCCATGCCACACCCTACTGTGATTTAAAGACAAAGACAGGAACTCAAGGACCTGTAGCCATTGTTATGGAACCATGGAGCCAGGAGGAAACTCTGAAGGCCATCTAGCTCAACCAGCGCAGGAAATCTGCAAACTGGCATCCCTGATAGATGGAGGTCCCTCTTCCCCAAAGGGTTAAGGACTATTTTTCTGGAAAAAGAGGTGCCGGATCACACCATGAACTCCTCTATTGTTCTCTTAGAATGGCAATGGCGCCCACCTAAGAGGTGCTGGAACTGAGTTCTGGCGAGCCCCGGCTGAAAAAAGCCCTGAGCGCCGCTCTCTCCCTTTGCTTCTTTGATCAAATCTGGAGCTCTCCACAACTGGAAGAATCTGGAGCCATTTTTCTTTGGCCCAAGAAGCAACTTTGCTTGTCGGAAATAGAGCGAAGTAATTTTCCTGGTGTTTTTTTCCTTTTCCTTTTTTAAAAAAATGAAAAACGACTGGTTATCTACAGGCAACAGTTTCCTGCTGAGACCTTTAAGACTGAAACGAAAGGGGGGAGACGGAGAGCGGTGGAGGATTTGAAGCGAAGAAGGAGAGCAGGAGAGAGCGAGCCTCGTCTCTGGAGGGGCCACGCGGTGTGGCACTCTCAAAACCAAGCGCAGCTGCTGCCTGACAAGAGCAGCAATTAGCCTGAGAGAGTCCCCTTGTGTACCAGCCAATGCCACAAGCTCGGTCTTGTCGCGATAGAGCCGGTGAGTCCTTTTCAAGAAACCCCCAACTTTCAATTTGGCCTGAGCGAAGGCGACAAATCCAGTTATCTCCCAGTGCCACGGGTCTGGAGCCAGTTAGCAGTTGATTTGCGCAAAGTCCCTTAAGAATCCGATTGGACAAATTCATTAGTTGGAAGCGTGTTCGCTAATGAATCCCTGCAGGACACATAGAGGATGGCAGAGGCTTAGTTATCTCTCTGTACAGGTGACGTGTGGCTTCCTCTGTTGCTGTTTGTGAGCGTCCCTGCCCAACCGAACACACTGTCCAGCTTCTCAAAAGCAGGCTGGTCAGATCAGACTCTCTCACCCAAAATAAAAAGGAGACCCGCTCACTTAGAGGTTTTTATTTCTTTACGACAGCGGTAGGGAACCTATTTCAGCCCTGCGGCTACACCCCTTCCTAGTGAACCTTCCAGGGGCCACATGGCAATGGCGCATGAAGCCAGAGGCAAAAGCAGGTGGAGCAATGATTGTGAAAGTTACTTCTGTGCAGTAGGCTAGTTCCTACACACACACACACACATTTCTCTATCCAGGTGTTATAAGAATTTTAAGGCCTCAAATATAAAATCAATATTCATAAATGCACACATATCTAAATACAGTGGAACCTAGGGTTGCAAATGTGATCCGTGTGGGAGGCACGTTTGCAACCCGCAGCGCCATGCCTGCACACGCGTGTGATGCAATTTGGGCTTCTGCGCATGCACAAAGCGCGATTTAGTGTTTCTGCGCATGCATGAGTGCCGAAACCCGGAAGTAACCCATACCGGTACTTCCGGATTTTGGCACATCCGTAACCTGAAAACGCGTAACCCGAAGTGTCTGTAACCTGAGGTACCACTATATATGAATCATGTGCCTGAAATAGTATGGGAGAGCAATCCTGGAGCCATTTTGACTCTCCCAATAACCTCAAATATTCCTCTGCAGGAAGGGAGGCAAATGGGGAAAGCCTTCCCATTGATACTTTGCTTGCACATCCTGCCTTAAGGGCGTATTTGTGTATGAAAAGGGTGAGCCTGTGACATGGATTCAGGAACTAAAGTATTAAGCATCACAAAAGAATGGCCAGGCTGCCCAGATAATGCAATCAGTGACTGTCATCAGGTATCCTGGCAGACAGGATTTCTGCTGTAGATGCCTCCTTCTGTGATGTATGTATGATGTTTTGGGGGTGGTGGTGGTCTTGGGCTACAGGGTGGGCAATTTCAAAAGTCTATATGAGGGCTTGCGCACCATTGTTCAGGGTTCTCCTCCTTCCTGCGTGTGGTGAGTGGGGACCCTGTTGCAACAGTTCCTTGAATAAAGATTAGGCTTACTAGCCGCTTTGCTTCTCAATATATAGTCATACCTCAGGTTATGAACGCTGTGGGTTGCACATTTTTGGGTTGCAGACCACACTGCACCTGGAAGTACTGGAATGGGTTACTTCCAGGTTTCGGCACTTGCGCATTGTGCAGAAGCTCAAAATGACATCATGTGCATGAGCAGAAGTGCCGAATTGCGTCACGTGTGTGCGCAGACATGGCGCTTCAGGCTGCGAACACTACGGGTTGTGAACGTGCCTCCTG